AACCCATTTGAGAAATCCACGTCTCTTCAAATTCCGAGAACTAAAAGAAAAGCTCAAGGAATCAACCACTACCTTTCTTCCATTCACACGTGCTTCGATTTCTGCCCTTACTTCAGCCAGCGCGTGTTCAAATATCTTCTCCAATGTATCTGCGCACTGGTAGACATTGCTGTCCTGGAAAAAAAAACAAAATGGAAACCTTTTCAGAAACTAGTAAAAAGAACTGTAAGCAAATATTTACGCGTGGATAGAAAATCCTAGCGTTCTCAAATAACCGCGACATGTCCCGTGTGAAATCTTTCAAACGCTGATATTCGAGGTTTTCCAGGCGTTGTTGGATGATTGAAAGGTCTAAAACACTGACATCATTGCTAAAATATGAAAAGAGAGGTCACAACTGAAAAGGCCAGGCTTTCTGCCGTATCCACTTCTTCGGGATACGCCAAGAACTCTACTTCCTCAGTATCGTTCAGGGTTTGTGAGTGGGACTCGGCATACACTTGTGTTCGCCGCGGATGATGGGGCGTGTGGAGAATGATGAGTTTGGTGGGGCTTTTTTTCTTTTGACAAGAAGGTATCATATCGTGTCAGGCGTTTTGCACCCATTGCTTTCGCTTACCCACTTCAACAAATAAGGAGAACAAGCTTGGTGGCGATCAAATCCAGCCTCACTGACACGCCCCTTCATCCGCTGCGAACAAGTCTGTGCAGAGAACTCAAAGAACTGCGCGATTCAGGCAATGAACGAGTCTGACACCGGTTCACCAGACTGAATCTATGAAAGGTTTCCTTAGTTGGGTAAAGCGATCCTTGATTCGAACCTCACCAGGCGTATGGTAAGCGGCACCTTATTTCACTAAATGACCTTCGCGGCGCAGTTTGTCGACGGGGGGGGGGGGGGCATGTTGCTTTTCATAGATGTGTCGACCCATCTAGGCAGCCGTTTTTCGGGTTGACACGTTCTAGGATAGACGATCTTACTTCAGCTTCACAAGAGTGCACAAGTTTTGTCAGAGTGAGATTTGTAAGCCGGAACTAGGGAAGCAATGGTAATACAAAATGCCCCCCACTGTCGACAAATAGCGCGACCTTGCGCCTAATGGCTAAATAAGATGGAATCAAATTGCTGTATGAATCTTTCGGCCAGGTTCCCTCCCGCACCATGCTGATACTGGGCCCAAATAATGTGGTAGCAAAAAGCGACACACGGCACCGTTACCGGCCATGGTAGCAAAACGCGTGCTTTCCACCAGCACAACTTGATACATGTTATTAACATAAGTATAAACGAGCGCTCACCAATCGGATGCTCCACCACGTCCAAATAATTGGGAAACTCTTCAAGGCTAACTGGTTGCCGAAACGGCCATGACATTCGATGATCAGCGACACATTCGAGAAGACGCCACACAAGTGGATAGTCAGCTCGACTAAAAATTATGATGAAAAATTGTTTTTTTTTTCGGGATATAACCCAATATGAGGAAGTGGAGTAGTAAAGCTTACCAAAGGGTAGCGTGTGTACTGCTGGCGGAACTACTGGCAGATTCATAGCCTTGCGTCGTCTGCGCTTCAGTGCACGATGGACACACATATTCTTCCATGGCTTCCGCCTCTCTGAAATTTGAGCAACTTATTCATTAATGCAACATCCCTTACAAGTGAAGATCCTCGTGAGATCCTTGTCAATTTCGTTTGCTTGCGCACGTCATCAAGCGTGTGGGCCACAGGTTTATTAACCTTATCTAGTAAATGAAAAAGCATACTAGGAACGAAAAGAGTAATTGGCTCATTTTGGCTACGGCGGTGCATTTTGTGAACTTACGAAATGTCACAAGTTTTATTTTCACACTGCTTTCTACACAAAATAATTGATTTCCCCATTTCAGAGGTCCGTCCGTCTCAGCTTGAGCAAACACCCTCATCCCCTGACTCACACTCTCCTCAATGTTCCTGTACCAGATGAAGCCCAAAAAAAAACAAAGGAAATGGCGAGGAGTAAAGCTCGTTGAACGCAATCTTGACGCTGGTACCCCTGGGAAGGAGGCAAAACGGTCTGTGTTTCGGAGCGTTTTCTTTTTCCAACAATTAGCTTTTCTGTTTTTCTGACTGCTCGCAGCGGATGATGGGGTGCGTCAGTGAG